GCAGGACTGAGCTAGCAGAAAGGGGGATGGTTGGAGATGTATCGAAGGTGCCACTGTAGAGTACCCTTCTAAGCTTTCTTGCCCTGTGGAAAGGAACTCAAAAGGCACTTAAATGCCCTCTGAGCTGTCTTTTCCTGGGTCCCATGATGCCACCCCCAAAATTCCACAGGGAGAGGGAAGCCTGAGGACCGTGTGGAGGGGTCTCTCATCAAAAATAAGGTTTCCAGCATGGCTGTTTGTGGAGCAGGGCTTTTACTTAAGGGGTGGGGCACCAAAATGCCCCACTGTAGCTATGGGCCTGGTGGGCAATCTCCTAGATCCCAGCCACAGCTCTTTACTCCAGCAGGAGCAAAAATGGAGACAGGGGATATTGCAACATCATTTCCAGTCGTACCAGGAAGTGACATCATGACTCCCTGGGAATTCCCCAAATCTCTATGGTTTGACAGTAGAGAGTATATATTGCAACTCCTCCTGGAGTTTAAGTGGACTAAACATGCCCTGTGCTAGCATTTGCGTGTGTGTAAAGTACTGTCTACTTGCTGCCGACTTACGGTGACCCCAGCCAGGGACGCAGAGGTGGTTTGCCATTGCCCTCCTCTGCAAAGTCTTCTTTGGTGGTCTCCTTTCAAAGTACCCATCCTGGATAGCTTCCAAGATCTGACAAGATCTCGCTGTACCGTGCCGCCTTCCTTCCAGCCTTAAAGATCTGACAAGATCTCGCTGTACCGTGCTGCCTTCCTTCCAGCCTTAGTATTTGCATTAACAAAATTACTCACTTGCTGTTGCCGCTCCAACAGACGTAAGGCAGCCTATTATATTATATATCATATTATAGTTTCAGAGGGTAGCCGGGCTGGTCTGCAGTAGAATGGCTGGATTCGAGAGCAGTAGCCCCTTAGAGACCAACGAGATTTTCGGGGTATGGACTTTCGAGAGTCAAAGCTCCTTTCCTAGCTGACAAAATCTCTCTCTAGCTCTTCTAGTCTAGCCGTTGTAGTGTAAAGATGTAGCTGTTTAGCTCTGTTGTTATTTTCATCCCAGTTACCCTTCCCTATGGTAGAATGTAGTAAAAACTTTCTATTTTAAACACACATGGACTCTGAGTCTTAATTATTTTACTCTGGCATTGCTAAGCTATCTTAAGCTGAATGTGTATCAGCACTTAGTATTTACATTAACAAAATTACTCACTTGCTGTAGCCGCTCCAACAGAGATAAGGCAGCCTATTATATTATTATATTATATTTTACTCACTTGCTGTAGCCGCTCCAACAGAGATAAGGCAGCCTATTATATTTATATATTATATTATAGTTTCAGAGGGTAGCCGTGCTGATCTGCAGTA